AAAAAAATAAAATATTAAAATTTGAAAAATTTAAATAAAAACATGTGTGTGTGGGGGGGAGGTGCAGGGTACAGTTCCAGTGGTTGTTTATATAAGGGGGGGGGAGGGGCGAAAAAAAAATGTCTGCCCAGGGCGCCCAGAACTCTGGTTACGCCACTGGCTAGAACTATGAGGTGAGTGAAAAGCACTCACCTCATAGTTCTCCTTCAAGTCTACTGAGGCCAACTAAGCGTGATCATGCTCCAAAGAAGATCCTGCACGTTTTCTGAGTGTTGAGTATTAGCACATTACTCAGATGTGAATTGACAGAATAGAATAACATGGAAAACAAGGTGTCCAGCATTGAAGTGTTTCTGGATTTGAGCCACCTTTAAACTGAGCACCTGAAGAAGGCAACAGTGCCTTTATGATGTGATAAATGATATATTGCAAAATGCTGTGGAACTCTGGACATTTTCTTCTGTGCATGGGGAGGGCTTTCCCTTCTCCTATTCACAAAAAAAAATCCTATCAAACATAATTTTAGAAAAATTCACTTATTTATTTTTCCAAAAAGGAAGATATTACCTAAGTTTGATGGAAATGAAGGCAGAGCAGATTTGCTTATCATAACACAACTCTTTTTCATCAATTATTTCTCAATTATCAATGTATCACAGTGAGGCATTTAAGATTATTTTGTACTTAACAACTAATTATACTTTGAATTTAAAAACAACAAAAAACTAAACACTTGGGGAAATGAATGGAACTATCACAACTGGAAACACCCAATCCAAACACAAGAGGGAGCCCTAAACCTTTTTTTTTATTTATTTCATTTCCATTGATAATGCCTGCCTTGGCTTCTAGAAACTGTTGTCTAGTATGTTGATGAATTTGAGGAGAAGATTATACCTTACCAATCTCCTTGGGTTCTTGGGTATAGACTACAAGGTTCTATGAGGAATTTATATTATGAAATGAATGCCATTCATCATACATCTGAATTTTCCATCCTTTAATGAAAACTCCAGGTCTTGCTAGCTTTTGCTGTTTTTATAATAAGTCAAATGATACAAGGCATCAGGCCCACATAATTTTGCACATTTACTAATAGGAGTTGGCAAAAATCTAAACTGACTTCATCAGTGATTCCCCAGTGACTCTTATAGAAAGAGAGTTTGACTCAACAAAGAACCTTCTGGCCATCTGATTCCCTTGTTTATTGCAATGTGGTAGATATGTGTGTATGTCTTTTGGCTGGCTTGTTATTACAGGCTCTGAGTCTAACCTCTCCCCGTTTTATTACATTGCTGCAGTAAGAACCAGTTTGGTTACATATTCCAATTGGGATGAGAGTCATGAGAGATGCATGATTGCCTATGAACTTCTTTGTTCTGAATTACTGTAGTGGATTATTTTATTATATTAATACTAATATAAAGTGTAAATATTTCCTTTATGCATAGTTTAATGAGATTTGAAAGTCACTGGGGGTGATTTACTAACCTAAACACACGCACGCACTAGGTGCGTGTGATTTTTACACAGCAAAACATATTTATCAACCAAAAAGTATCTAAAAGCATATTTCCACTAATGCCATATATGGAAAAATCATGCACATGATGCATATATAATGCTGCTTCACAGTTTAGACAAAAATGGTTAGCTCATGCATTTACATTCCTGCATTCATCAACGCTAGCAACACAATGTAGAGCTAATTTACACAACATCACCTTGCAATTCATGCAGGGCTTTGCACAACACACCTGCTGGGTGTGTACACACTACAAAGGTGTCTAGATTCCACCCATAGATCATGCTGGGAGGGAACACACTACAGAGGTGTATACTTGTTCGTGGCGTGTTTATAAGGTTAGTAAATCAACCCCACTGTATCAGAAGAAGTGGACTTTGATCCCTGAATCGTGTAATGCGTCTATCTACCTTCCAGAAAGTATCCTTCCTTTCCCTGAATTCTTGACTATTATACACAAGATAATGAATGGTGACTGATACCAAGGACTTTAAGATCACATTGAATTGGATAATAATAATAACTGAATTCATAGTGAAGTCATGTGTTTCCTTTCTCCTTTCTCCTTTTTTTTTCTTTTTTTCAGTAGTAATGCTTATGTTAAGGCTTTTATCTTTGTGACAATAAAATATACTATGTTTTTTATGACTTTGTGATACAGGATACTTTTTGTTTAAGGTGTCTTTATAATCCTATTTGGAGGTGTTTATCTAATGATCACATTACCCAGACGGATGGTGACACCCTTATTTAAGTAAGCAAATTATGTTGACATCCTACAAAAATCATCCAGGAATCTATCCAATTAGCTTAATTACCCCTGTGCTTGCCATTCACACAGGAATTCCTTTGCAAATCTGTATTACATAGGACACAGGGCAATTAATATAATTCCCTAGGTAGACTTTGTCATGATAAATGTACAATGTTCAGGGAACACAAACAAGATCCATCATTGTCAGCATCACCTGTTCTGGGATTACTAAATTCATACCTGTAAACACCAGAGCCATGAGTCTGCAAAGGAGAAAGCACTGTTTCCCAATCATTCTATATACAGTATACTAGAGATACAGGATATACATTAAAAGTGAGTTATTCTGTTTAAGAGTGTATACTTCTAATAGGTGTACATTTCACAGAAAAAATGGAACCAATTTTTCTACATGTTATTATACAGCCAAATAAATTGTTGATATTTTTATGCTGCATCTTTCACTCCTAGATCCATCTCAGGAGGCTCCTCTTGAAGGTAAGCAAATACTCATTGACAGTCATCTGATCCTGACAAATCATTAAGACTAAGCAATTATTATCTAGTGTCAATCAACACTATCTCTCAGTTTGAAATAGATAGGCACGGGAAACACACATATAAACAGTTTCAAGATCTGAAGGGTTTTAGAACTGGAAAAGATGCACACATATTTTAAAATAAATACATTAAAAAATGTATGGACTTTAAGGGGTTTGTATATAAAGATAGTGAATATTGAGTTTACTGTTTTATAAAATGCTCAAAGAGAAAGGTTCTTGGCAAAAACAAAAGATGTTTTCCTGACTGACTGCTGGGCTTACCATAGAGACATTTTAACAGCCTTGCTTTATTCTAAAAAGAGTACATGTGTGTGGGGGACTTGATTTATTTTTTCAAGTATTTGTCCTTTTTAATGGCAAAGGAGTGGGTAATTTTTTTGGAGCCTCAAGTGTGGCCTTGGCTGCTCTGCAGGGCCATACTTAGTAATATGTCAGCAGTAAAAACCAGTAAAATGTTCAATACATTTTGCAGTTTCTAATTTCTCCTTCACAGATATCTAAACGCAAGTGTAAAAATTATAGTAAACTTTTTATTTTCTTAGTGTCAAAATCTGAAGAAATATTAAGGGACGTCTTGAGGGTTGTATTTGGCCTTTCATCTACTGGTTTAGCACCATTGCTACATCAAAATAATTCTGCATTTCACAATAATACACTGGAGGAATACACTATTAACATTTTGTAAGTTTAGCAATGAAAACATTAAATTAAATATCTTTTTTTGTTTAGTATCTGAGTGCTATCTGACCTCCTATATTAAAGGGCCAGTCCCTGCAGGCCAGGGCTGTGAGTTGGGAGAAGGTACTTGGCGTGCCTGTGCCATCACTGGAAAAGAAAGTCCTGATCTTGACTACTAAATAGTAAGAGATGCTTTTAATCACCCACAGCAGGGCACACTAACTGCAGCACAGTGGCTGACAATACTGAAACTATCAGGCATGCTGTGCATTGGCCTGTAGTTTGCACAGGCGTGTCACCTTTCAAAGCATTGAGAGCTGATGAGTTATTGATGTCACCCTAAAGCTGGCCATACACCTTACAACCATCACACGACTTTCGTTGTGCAATGGTTGTAAGGTAATTAAAATTTCGTACGATCTGCCCATCTTGGACAGGCAGATCGTAGTTGCGATCATCGCAACCCTCCCTGCTGACGGGAGGGCTTCCGATGATTGCAGTGCTGAGCCGGCAGTGTGCGCTTGCGCACACTGGCCCGTGTGGCATTCATCTCCCGACCACGCCACCAACCCGCCGAAAATCGTACGCTTTTCGGCAGGTTTTCAAGCATGCTCGGAAGATGAATGTCGTGCGACCTTACAGTAGAAGAGGTCGCACGCTGCCCATACACCTGCCAATTATCGTACGATTGTGGGATCACCCGCAATTATCGTACGATAATCGGCAGGTGTATGGGCAGCTTAATAAAGGTCCCATAATCACTGCAAAGCTGGTGCAATTAAAGTAATTATTTTAAATCTGCAATCATGTTGTCAACCTTTAGGCTCCTGCGAATTTAATTTTGAAATTGCTTCTATACATACAAAAATGATTTTAGGATATACATACTTTATTGTAATGTAATATACATAATATTAACCCATTGCCTAAATAACTTATCTGTCCTTTTTACATGTTTAATTATGTTGGACACATGAAACTGATCCTGTATCATACTTGCAGATCTTCCAATAAGCAATGGCTTTATCAAAAAGCAGCAATGATACATTTGTGAATGAGTTCATTCTGACTGGTTTCTCAAGAAGACCTGACCTACAGATAGTATTTTTCTTAGTCTTTTTATCTATATATTTAATAACACTTTTGGGTAACTTGCTGATTGTCTTTGCTGTATGTCATAATGAGAGGCTGAAAACACCCATGTATTATTTCTTATGTAGTCTATCAATACTAGACGTGTGTTTGTCTTCTGATATTGCCCCTAATATGTTATCAAACTTACTCTCTGAACAGAAGACAATATCCTATGCTGGCTGTTTTGTACAGCTTTACTTTTTCTGTGTTCTTGGAAGTACTGAATGCATTCTGTTTGCAGTGATGGCTTATGACCGTTATGTGGCAATCTGTAACCCATTAAACTATATCTTGGTAATGCAGAAGAAGACCTGCCTGGGACTTATATGTGGAGCTTATATGGCTGGTGTCGTTCATTCTCTCATTGAGGTTTCTTGCACCTTGCAGCTTTCCTTTTGTGCCTCCAATGTCCTTCACCATTTTGCCTGTGATTTTCCCCCGTTACTAAGTATTTCATGTACAGACACTACTATTAATGAATTTGTCCTCTTCATCTTTTCTTCTCTTATTACTGTACCTTCTATACTGGTCATTATTGTGTCATATGTCTCCATAATTGTATGTGTTTTAAAGATAAAAAGTGCAAATGGAGGACTAAAAGCCTTTTCGACTTGTGCATCCCACATAACAGCAGTGACACTATGTTATGGAACAACTCTGTATGTATATTTAAGTCCTAAATCAGAGTCCACAGTTGAAAACAGGAGTGTTGCCACTGTTTTCTACTCTGTTGTAATACCTATGTTAAATCCAATTATTTACAGTTTAAGAAATAAAGATATTCATATGGCTGTGAAAATAATGTTCCAAAGTAAAATGAATTTTTAGTCTGCTGATTATAGTGTGATGAACTCCTATTACTGATGATCAAGTTTGAAGTCTCAAAGGATTCAATTAATTTTGATCACGCAAGTTGCCTGGCTGCAATTCTGATTCTTTAACTTTTAAACTTTCTTTGGCCCAGAACAAGTAGATAGGTAACTTTCTCCAACTTTTATTAGCTGCATGCTTGTTTCAGGGTTGTGACTCAGAAGTGTTGAAGCCAGGCACAATTCATGAGGTCTACAATGGCATTTTCCACATATCTCTTATGACATGTTTACTTTAAATACTGTCCTCCTAACATGCAGCTCCAAGAAAGCTTGACTGTAGGGAAGTGTCTTCATTCTGCTGTGAATCTTGAGGTTGGGATGTAACTTCAAGCTTAAGGGATACAAATATGGCTGGTGCTCTGTGTCATGGGGGGCTGCTTTCTTTAGTTTTGACTGTGCAGCTCGGTCTAAAGGTGTGACCCAGGATTCTCAAGGGCGACATGATCAGTTCCTGCAACAATCTCTAATCAGCAGTATGAAGAAAAAGGCTGTTTTTTTTTACATTTCTATTGGTTTTATTCATGCATTCCTTTAAAATATTGCAAGTTGATTTTAAGGTTTAGGTCTACTTTAAGACCACACCTGACACTTGGTCCCAATCATCCTCCTTTCTTGCCGATAACTAAGACAGTAAATTTTTTCTTCCTTCCAATCATTTGGATGCCAGCACTATAACCACATAGCTTGGCTATAATATTGGCTTAACATAGATAGATAGATAGATAGATAGATAGATAGATAGATAGATAGATAGATAGAAGTACAAAAAATTCTAGACATGGCTGGGTTACTGATAGTATAGAAGAACATTTGTTAATTTGATTTTTTAAAATATATTTACTATATTGATTCAGTATTGTTTCATCACCTGGAAATAGGTTCAGACTGCGACTCCCAATGGGATTCCTGCCTGTACCCATATAAGAGTCCTATTCTATGGAATAATTTGGTGAACTTCTCTACACTCTTCCTAATCTGGCAATTAATTCAGGATTATTTTGCTTTTTTCTGTACCAATTTTTTCACTGTATCATATTTTATGTATTTACATCTTTTCTTTACCTTATTTGCATTTTTATAGCTTCATATTACAACCCCAATTCCCAAAACGTTGGGACGCTGTGTAAAATCTACTTTGAAACAGAATGCAATGATTTGCAAATCTTATAGACCCATATTTTATTCACAATAGAAAATAGAAAACATATCAAATGTTTAAACTGAGAAAATTGACCATTTTAAGAAAAAGGTAATTTTAAAATTGATGGCAGCAACATATCTCAAAAAAGTTGGGACAGATGATTACAACGGTGTAGTCTCCCCTCTTCTTTTACACTCTGTAAACGTCTGGGAACTGAGGAGACCATTTGCTGAGTTTTGGAAGAGGAATGTTGTCCCATTCTTGCCTGATATGGGATTCTAACTGCTCAACAGTCCTGGGTCTTCTTTGTCTTATTTTTTGTTTCAAGATGAGCCAAATATTTTCAATTGGTGAAAGGTCTGGACTGCAGGCAGGCCAGTTAAGCACCTGGACTCTTCTACTATGAAGCCATGCATCTAATGTGGTTTAGCATTGTCCTTCTAAAATATGCAAGGCCTTCCCTGAAAAAGAAATCATCTGGATAGGTGCATATGCAGCTCCAAAATCAGCCCAGTCCATATGCACTAATGCACCCCCATACCAACAGAGATGCAGGTTTTTGAACTGAGTGCTGATGACAAGCCGGAAAGTCCCTCTCCAGTTTAGTCTGGAGGACGCACCACCCATGGTTGCTAAAAAGAATGTCAAATTTAGATTTGTCTGACCACAGAACAGTTTTCCACTTTGCGTCAGACCATTTTAAATGAACTTTGGCCCAGAGAAGACAGCGGCTTTTCTGGATTGTGTTCATATATAGCTTCTTCTTTGAATGATAGAGCTTTAACTTGCCATTCTTGGATGGCATGGCGAACTGTGTTTACAGACAGAAATTTTTGGAAGTATTCCTGAGCCCATTTAGTGAAGTCCATCATAGAATCATGCCTATTTTTAATGGAGTGTCGTCTTAGGACCCCAAGATCATGAGTATCCAGTATTGTGTTTCAGCCTTACCCCTTGTGCACAGAGATTTCTCTAGATTCTCTGAGTATTTTGATGATATTATATACTGTAGGTGATGATATATTTAAAGTATTTGCAATATTACATTGAAGAACATTATTCTGAATTTCTTTGACAATTTTTAGATGCAAATTGGTGAACCTCTGCCCATCTTTACTTCCGAGACACTCTGGGGTTGATTTACTAACCTTTTAAACACACCACGAACGTGTATACACCTCTGTAGTGTGTTCCCTCCCAGCATGATCTATGGGAGGAATCGAAACACCTTTGTAGTGTGTACACACCCAGCAGGTGTGTTGTTCAAAGCCCTGCAATGAATTGCAAGGTAATGTGGTGTAAATTAGCTCTATGTTATGTTGCTTGCGTTGATGAATGCAGGAATGTAAATGCATGAGCTAACCATTTTTGTCTACACTGTGAAGCAGCATTATATATGCATCATGTGCATGATTTTTCCATATATGGCATTAGTGGAAATATGCTTTTAGAGACTTTTTGGTTGATAAATACGTTTTGCTGTGTGAAAATCACACACACCTGGTGTGTGTGTGTGTGTGTTTAGGTTAGTAAATCAACCCCTCTGACTCTCCAAGATACTCTTTTTATACCCAACCATGTTACTGACCTATTGCCAATTCACCTAATTAGTTGCAAAATGTTCTCCCAGCTCTTCCATGTTAGTACCACATACTTTGCTAGGTTTGCTAGGTCCCAACTTTTGCAGTGTTGCTGCCATCAATTTCAAAGTTACCTTATTTTTTCCCCTAAAATGGTACATTTTTCACAATTTAAATATGTGATATATTTTTTTTATTTTCTAATGTGAATAAAATATGGGTTTTTGAGATTTCCAAATCATTGCTTTCTATTTTTATGCAGATTTTACACAACATTCCAACTTTTTTGGAATTGGGGAATTGTATATTAATTAAAAAGGTACAAAACATTATCAAGCAAAGTGAACATCTTTAAATTTTTCCAATAAGTTATGCTGTGACTTAGGTGTATATTTAAAAAGGATTCACCATACATTGACCCGAAAGTACTCACAATTTGCTCTGCAACATTCACCAAATTCATAATGCACTTCATTCGCCCAGTAAAAGACACATTTACTGACATACAGCAACATCTGTTTTCTAATGTATAAGGTGCACACTATAACATTCATCCATTTAGAAATGGGTGAATGTTACCTTCCCTGGGCATTCATCTGTACATTGATTGAATACATTTAAAAAAACACATTTGCCATGGTGGACACGTTGAATTATTTAATTTGATACTTACTGAGAATTGCTAAAACTGTGCTTTTAAGACAGATCCAGCCATGTTTGCGTGTTTTTTTAAAATTCATCAATTAAAATAAAATTAGAAAAGTACACCCCACCAAATAACATATCAATATTTAAATCACAATCCACCTAAACTAAATTGCAGGTTTATGTCCAGATAAGCTCACAGCCACCTAGCTGGAGATCTTTCCACAAGTTTTCCAGAAGGATTTTTCTTTCTCTTTCATTGCAGATTATACAGCTCAATACTGTGATGTGGAGAAGATTTTATATACTGTAAGTACCGGGGTGTCTTAAAAAAGGACAAAGTTTTAGGATCCTTGATTCCTAAAAAAAAAATATTATTTACAGGAAAGCTCCCAACCTTAGCGATAAACTAGTGTACAATGTGGTAGACCCACCAAAGAAAATAAGTAAAGTAAACTCCCCGTTATCCGGTATCCACGGGGATTGGTAGATTCCGAATAAATGTAGTTTCTGGTTGCTCAAGAGTTACTATTAAAAATAGGTACCCCATACTATACCATACCATACCATACAATAAATTCTGTATTGACTTCATACTAATATTGAAATCCAGTAATCAAAAGCAAATTAAGACAAATAGACTGTACTATTTTAGAGGGGGTAGGATTTTACCCCTGCAAAATATGTTTGGGGTGTAGAACAATAGAGAATAATGGGGGCAGGAAAAGATCCTATTTTAATTCGAGGGTAAATGGAAGGCGCTTTGAAATTAAAGAATTTATATCATGTCATGCTGCCTATTCAACCTACATATTGGAATGCCCTTGTGGATACCATTATGTAGGGAAGACTACTGGCCAGTTAAAAATCAGAATACAGGAGCATATTAAGAACATCAAGAAAGGACTAGAAAGTCATAGTGTATCCAAACATTTTAAAAATTTCATTATAAGAATCCAAAGAAATTTATATTTTATGGAATTGATAGGGCAAATCAAACATTGGAGAGGGTCCAACCTTAAAAGGTTGATTTCCCAAAACTAAGTGAATATGCACATTAGAGGCTACGCAGTCGAAGGGTTTGAATGAAAAATTAGATTGTGTGAACTGTGAACTGTTTTTGGAGTAATTAATAGAACAGTATGGAGGTAGGATTCATGTATGTTTTGAGATAAATAGAGAGTTTTATCATTATACTTTTAATGCTTACTCTTTGCTGACATCTAGTGGCAACCTGAGAGAAGGACTAATTACAATAGATCGTTAAAGATTTCCCCAGATGTAAAAGATAGGAAAGTGACTATATAAGGCGTGCGTGATGGACTCAGTCTGTACGTTACCCTTTGAAGAAGTCTATGACTTCATGACTTCATGTGGGTATGAACACACTGATGTTATCACACTGCCATTGGAGAGACCATTATTCCTTTACCTTTAAAGTGAGCTCCTGCAAAATAATTTTGGATAGGGTAGGGAAGGAATAAAGTCTCTTTCATGTTTGTATTGATGGGTCAATTCTCTATCTCTGTTTGTCCTCTATCTCTATTTGTCCTGGATATGGCTGTCACTAGAACTGAAAGTGAGGGAAAA